GATGACCTAAAAAATACAACTACGGGTTTTGATATTTTCAATAAAATCGATGATTTCATTCGAAGTAATGAAATAGCAATCTATTTCATTACTTCGAAAACGTGCATCGACATCTGCACTGATGGAGCTAAAGCCATGCAAGGTCCAATTTAAAAGGTCTGAAGAAAACTTTTACCATTTTAACGACGTATTTGTGACAAAAAAAAAGAAACAGGCTTGACGCATCAGCAGACATTCGTTGTCAGTTAAGAAGGTGGGAACCAAATTTTGAAAAAAATTGCTGAAGATTTATGGCAACAAATATCCCATTAAATTGTTAGAAATTATTATAGAATAACTTAAATTTTGTTTATCGATAATTATTATTATTTATTTTTAGGAAATGTAATTTATGCACGTATTGAAATGACTTCTGTGATTTTATATAATATACTTGTCAAATAATAATAAATAAATGTATGTACAGTACAGTATCTGTTTAAATTGATTATTATTTACGTAAAATAAGTACAGTAATCAACTTTTAGTTGTAGTTAGTGAGAGTTTTTTTATGGCACTCAGTTATAAGGGCTGTATACATCTAACGCAGTAATTATAAAATTTATATACAAAAATATAAGGAGTACTTGAGAAACAACTAATGGGCTAATGGGGTACATCAACAAAAAAGGTTGAGAACCACTGAACTAGACAAAACGGGTTTTAACAAAGACATTTAGTATGAATTAGTTTCAACTAGTTAAAACGCGTTCTAACTAAAAACGGGTTTTTACTGTAACATATATAAATTTATGAATTAGTACAAATAAAAAACACAATTCAGTCTTACTTTTAAATATGTATGTTCGGTTTGAGTTAAAACTTTATTAAAGCGAAACATCACAATACCCATTCTGCTAAGCTGTTATTCTGAAGTCGCATCAACTGCACAATTTAATTTTTTATTTTCTTTTACTTAATTGTAAACTAAAGCACAAACTTACCAATACACATTCCTTTGTCGTGGTCGAACGTTTTCCGCTTATCTTTACAGATACACTTATCCTTATAACCTTCCTTGAAACATTCCTTTCCACCGTTACTTTTGCATTTTCTTTCGAAATTATAATCGCACGAACCTACATAATAAAGAAAAAACATTTCATATTTAGTTTCAAATCGAAACAATGTGTCACAAAATTGTAACATGTATCGATTTCGTTTGTTTACTTCATTGCTTCATTATTACATACATATATAACGCTCAATAAAAAAATTCCAAACGGCTATCAGTGTGGCTTCTGTAAATCAATTGGATAGTAATTCATTACGAAATACATTTATGAAAAGAAGCACTTAACACCGGCCTTCTTCTAACTAGAAACTAGAAACATTGCGAATATGAGATTTTTAACATGTTGGCATTGTCAACATTTAAACAAAACTGACGTCAGAGAATAAATGATAGTTAATATTTTTCGAACGAACTTTTCCCTGCATTTTCTTTTTAAACACCTTAATTAGTATAGTTTTGTTTACATGAATTAAAATTTAGCAACTCAAATTTAATCCATTTCTAATTAATGGAGAAGGCTGGAATATTTCAAATTGAATAATACCTAACAATGAAAAGTAATGATGTTTTATAGTTGTGGCTCGATCGTATCATCTTACTCATTCTAAATCCCGATAAATATAATCAAATGCAAAATTTTATCATGATGTTTGCGATGTAAATGCATCGTAGTTATGCGTATAAAATAGGCGATTATACTCCATCATCCTCTACTTTTATTTTTTTAAAGTGTGATCAATACTAGGGTGTTTTTTATAATTTTTGAAATATCTTACGTTAATTTTATTATTTTTTAGTATTTTTCTACTTATTGTTTAAAAATGTAATTGTAAATGTAAAAAATGTATTTGTTTCATTTTTTAAGACAAATAGGAAATGCTTGAATGCTGATAAGACATATACAGTACTGAGAGCAAAAACGTTTTAAATGACACCTAACAAGTATCTCTTAAAAGTTAATTTAATTAAATTAATCGACGTGAGAAGCTGAAATCCCGTAACACTGACAAACCATAAACGTTTACAGAAGGTCTCCAAAGAAACTGCTTCAACTAATTTTAAAAAAAATAATTATAAATCAGTTAACTTTACAGTTTGGAAAATAAATTTATTTTATATATTTTCGAAAGGGACAAGTGTATTCATTTAACCAGTTAATAATTTATAATAAAATGTCTAAATTATAATCCAGTTAAAATTGATTCCTCCATAAGTGTCATATCTTTATGATAACAATATTCAGTAAATTAATCTATATGTTACCGCTAAAGCTCGAAATCCGTTAATGTGCACATTACCTAGCTAATCTGCAGATTAACTAGGGTGATCCGTTAAAGCTGCGAAAATTATTCCATTTCTGAAATTACCTAGGTAATCTGCGAATACCTACTAGGCACTCGGTAAAGTGAAAATAAGATCTTTGCTGGAACAACAGCAACGTTTCTTTCTGTACGCTGAAATTAACATAATGTAATTTATTTAATTTTCAATATCTAAAGTTAATACAATCAAACAATCAACAAATTAGTTGATTGAATCAATCATCAATCAATTAAAAAAACTTTAATACAAAAATCAAACGGTTTAAAATATTATTACAATTAGGGAAATGAATTTGCAAAACATATGATAAAATTGTACTTACTTATTAGTGCAATCTAAAGATTGGTGACACTTTGAATTACGTAGC